TTATACATGACAGCAAGTCAAAAATCAATTTAATATTCATGTTGACAAATTAATAATAGCTGGTAGGTAGTCTGGTAGTCAATAAATAAACCATGTGACTATACTGTTATCAGTTTGATAAATTTAGATTATAATTTAGGAGCTATATCTATATATATTTTAGTGGCGACATCAATTAATTAATAATTAATAAACGAAGTAGGTACCAAGATGTAAATAAGATAAACTTCTGTTTAAATGTTTGATATTTAGGAAGTCATGTTGTATATTCAGAGCTCAACTGATGTGCCATGTGGTACCTGCAGCGATTGTTCCCAGCTTTTTCACCTTTAAATACTGTGCATAGACAGAAATTTAACATGCGCCTCGCATGGTCATCATAGTAAAAAAAAATACTTTAAAATATGTTGAATATGAAAAAACATTAATTTAGGACAATCAAATGCAAAATCCCATGGTAGAGGTCACTGAACATATAAGTATATAACATGTATTTTTCATCGTTTTTACATAGTTTTTTTTCATTCGAATTAATATTTTATGACTTCATTATGAAGTTTATACTGGAATTACATTAAATTATATTATTATTTGTGACTAGGTATACTGTTATCAGTTTGATATATTTAGATTATAATTTATAATAAACTTAGTAGATGTAGAAGATAAACTTCCCTACATCATAAAATAAACAAAATTTAATGTAATATAATAACAAATTGTTTAATCGTTTGCTAAAATAATTGGTAAATCTGAGTTCAAAATTGTTGCCTCATCAAATTATAATAAAATTGAATGGTATATTTTATAATAATTGTCATTATAATCTATATAGGAACTTGTAACACCTATAAAGTATTATCGGGTAGGTCAAATTTTTGAATTTTGTTAGTACATTTTTGTTATTTAGGGAGTCATGTTGTACATTCAGGACATTTAAATCACATTCAGAGCCCAACTGACAGCATTTTAACATGCGAGGTGGTCATCATAGTAAAAAAAATACTTTAAAATATGTTCACAGTTTTAAATGTTTGTACAATTTTTTTTTTGTCTAATATTTATATACTTTCAATGATGGTGTGACCCCTACCTACCTCTGACTATGTAGGTAGATATGTATGTATTATTTTTTACCTACCTTAATATATTTTGTTTACTTAATACTTGCATAACATTCTAAAAAGGTTGAATTAGTTAAATTATAAATGTGTAAAAAATTATTATTTATAAACCACTGCTGATGTAGGTAGTAATGTAGTGTACCTACAAATATAAAATTGAAAATAATAACAGGGTTTTTCAATCATCGATGAACTAGACTACCAAACTAGACGTCCAAAATTGTTTTTGCACCATTCATGTGAAGTTACAACAATTTCTTTAATTGGATTTTTAAATCGTTAGCTTCATAGTAGCTACCATTCCATATATTATTAAAATAATCATTGAACACTAGTTCAATTCGTTCCTCTAAAAATAGTTATGTCTTTATTAAAAATACAATACATATATTAATGTTAGAGCATGCAATTTTAGTAAGGTACCTATACCTATTTTAATTAAGAATCTTATGTTTTAGTAAAAATAAAACATTTAAGTAAGATTGGTATTTTGTTTCTATGTTAGGAAGAACCTAGACAATCTTTTTAGCTAACACAAAAGGTGTGTACAAGTACAATACACTTAGTCCAGTAAGAAATGTTCACTCTGAGGTAGGTATAGGTACCTACTAAAGTAAAAAATAAAAATAACTGTGTAGAGATCACATTCTACGTATTAATTTATTGAATTATAATAACATAATAATATTGTTTAATATTAGTTAGGTACCTTTTCCTACTAAATAGTTATTTTAATTTGTTTAAATTGAATAATATAATATAATATTTAAATTAATATTATATATATATTATTAAATTAAATTAAATTATTTGATAAATGATAAAAAAAAGCGGGCAATTTGAACTGGGCCAATGAGAACGTGGTATACATAAGGCGCTCTGTGGCGTCCTGGGTTTCCTAATACGCTTCCCGGTTTCCGATTATTATTTTAAAAATATGTATGAACTCGTCATCCTCTTTACTAGGTTATGTAGGGCAAATAATAGATATTTTAAAACTGAATGTAACTGTATATAAAATAAAAATTGTTTCATAATTTTTTTTTAATTTTAACATATTTTTTAAGCCTTATTGAATACAAAAATCGAAAATCTGTTCCTACATAACCTAGAAAAGGAGATGATGAGTTCATATATATTTTTAAAATAGTAATTGGACATCGGGAAGTACATAAACTAATCTAATAATCTTCCGCTTATTGGTCTAAAACTACAAAAAATACGGTGTGCTCCAACAGCCTTAACTGACCTATAGTTAAATTAACTTTATTAACTTTTAACTTATAACTTTTTGTTATTGATAAATATTAACTAAACTTAACTGAGTTAAAAAAAATCTTTAACTTGCCCAGTCTTGGACTATTTCGTACTACACAAAGTGTGTCGTACTATATACAATTTTAGTCCCTGCACGCATAGAAATTTGGAGTTGTTCTAACTACAACGAGTGTCAATGTTATACACATTTGAACGTCGATTTTGCGCTAAGGATTTATAAGTGTTACCTTAACACCAGAACTGTAATCCAATTTCCAAAACCACTAATCGGTCATTTGCACAACCCAGGAGAGTTGTTCAAACAACAACATGTTTTAAAAATAACTCTAGATCGATGGTTAATACAAATTATTATTTATTTATAATTGTCCGTAACAACTAACAATTGATTGAGTGTTGATTTAACCATCCAATATACTGAACTTAAATTAATGATAACGTTCAGACAAATTTTTCCGGGTAATCAAAATACTGAGTATTTGTAGTCAATTTAACCTTTTTCATTAATTATATTTAACTTCAAAAAGAGTTATTTTAATAAATATTTATTATAATAATATGATATTATGGGCCGGTATTTACTAGATACTTACCAAATTATTTAAATGTATTTTTTGTAACATTTCAATAACGTATACGTCTTATACATTGTCAAATAGTTCAATTAATCAAATAAATTAGCCTATTATCAGCGTCGGTTTTTTCAAAATTATCTGGTGGTGGTGTGAGGAGGTGATAATAATTAGTGCTTAACTAAAAAACAATAAGTAGAGATAGGTACTCTGATGAAATAAAAAAATGCGTTCTGAGCATATTAAATATTAATATACATTATAAAATCGTAAACTCCCCTGAACGGGCTGAACTACCTAACTCACATATTAGATGCCACAAACAAAAAAAAACATTTCATGACTCATTAGAGCAAGGCACTTGATTTCTTCTTCTAAAAATAGTATTAAGTATAAGTATTAAAAATAATAAAAATATCAGATAGAATATAAATTCATTTTATTGTATAAAAATAAACATAGGTAATACAACACATATAACAAATTAATATTATTCATTAGAGATAAAGTAATTACATACTTACAGGTATATACATTCATAATATAATTTCCAGATTAAAATTATTAATAGTTACAATATTTACATAAAAAAAAACAATAAGAAAATTATTATTTATTAGTGTTACCATTATAATGCATATTTTAATGTCGCATATCTACATTTTTCCATTACCTAAAACACGAGCAACTGTTGGAGTAGAATCAGGTAACTCATTAATATAAAACCAACCCTTCAAGTTCGGAACAGTTTTCATTTTTTGTAATTTCATAGGCATAATAAAGAGAGTCAAAACCGATAATATACAAACGATTAAGTACAAAATAAGGAATTTTTGATTTACTGGAAAACATATACATTAATTTCCCAAAAGTACAATCACAAAGATTATAATCTATTACCATAAGCATTAAGCATACCTTTTTATAAAGTTGTCCTTTATATTGGAGCCAGGAAGCGTTGAAGACAGGGGCGTCATTTGGGGGGGTGCAGGGTGTACATTTGCACCAACATTTTTTATAAACGCCTTCTTTGGCCTGCCAACAATAAATATAAGCGCCGATATACCTAAGTGTTATATATTAATATATTATATATATTTTATATTTTTTCAGTATTTAAAAAAAAATAATAAATATTATAGGTACCAATGGGTTTTATTTCCAAAAATGATCGATGTGGTTGTGTGGTTATATCATTGACATAATATAAAATAATAATAATATAATTATGTCTATGGGTTATATATATTTTTTTATCCTCTACCATGGTATTATTACCATCGAATATATAATAAATCTGTGGGTATAATATTATGCTGGTATAGATTTCTTATCACGCTTTGGTATCTCCCTACTCGTTATAATAAGAAAACAACATGATATATAATTCCCATTAATAGGGAAAAAATTGTCTAAAAATAGCAACCACAGAATATTATTTGTTTACATTTTTAACCTTGTCACTTACTTTCTATTGTAGAAATGATATTCTATGGTAGAAATTCTACCACCAATTTTAGTTAGTACGTCGAGAGTACGATTGTTCTAGTCGTGATCGTGAAAGAAGTGAAATACTTAATAATATATATTATATAATAATAATAAATTAAATTAAAATTTAGTTAAATTTATTAATTTAAAGTTAAATTAAAATTGATGTGGAAAAATTTAGAAATATGAATTAAGTATATTGTGCCATTTTGAACAAGGTAACCCATAATACAAATTTCAGGTTTAGGCGTTTAGCTATATTATTTATTTTGAGTGTGCAGGGAGAAAAAATGTATAGGTTAGGATCGATTAAGTACTATTAAGGTGCTTTATATCCATAAATTTGCTTACCAAATACAACTGACATCCATAATATAATATAAACTTATTAAAAGTACCTACACATAGTTCTTCAAAAATAGTAATAATATTGTGAAGTTTTCATACTAATATAAGTGACGTATTAAATACATTTTACAAATATTCTACAGTTTTTGTCCCCACTAGACCCCCCCCACTAAAGAAAAAAAGTTTTCTATGTGGCCTGGTAACAATTTGAATGGCCTGCAAACATTTTCGCACCAACAAAAAAAAAGTTGAAATGACGCCCCTGGTTGAAGACCGATGATAAAAACTCATTAGGTAATTTACTCATAAAAGAATAAGGTAAATCTGTAGTGGGAATTGTATTTGTTCCCATTCCCAATTGTAGGTCTTGGTCTAAATCAGATTTTGAAAGCAAGCGACTTACAGTTTGTAATTGAAGTTTAAATGCTAATGTGTGACCGAGATTTATACGACAGGGGACAGAATTAGCAATTGACTTTAGTACTTTATGTTTTGCTTCAAAGCGTATAGGAGATGTTAATCTGATTGGACCATTCTTTAGTAATAAACGACCATAATGAGTAAGAAGATAGAACTTTGGTTTAAGAGTCTTATTAGATAATTCCATATATAGTCGATTATGTTCAGTAACAAGAGAATCTAATAATTTAGAACACTCGGGTTGTATACTCCTAGCACAACATAAATCAACAATTTTTCTCAATAAAATATATAGTTTCCAATTTTTTGAGCTTTTAGGAATCAATTCACCAACAATGAGACCAAAATGTCTCACTAAACAGAGCATCTCCGTGGCAGACATTATTATGGAGCCATTATTCAAATGGGATTGATTAAGTTTTGGAGGACAATTTTTATTTTCTGTTATACCATACTGATAAAGAATAATACGAGAGTTTAATTGATCAAAAGTAAAATATTTCTTAATTATAAAATTGTGTACAATGATTGATATATCATGACGAGCTACTCCTTCGGGAATATCATGCATGAAATCGTAAACCATGTTCCGAACAACATGGAAATTTGGAACTTCGTGAAAGATATAACGTTAATTTAATCCAGTATCTGTTAAATTTCTTTTACTAATATCAATGTCATAATTATTTTCATTTCTTAATGATTGAAAAGATTCTCATAACATGTTCTGTAGTTCTGGTTTTGGACAATGACAAATCCTACAGTAATGATTTGCAGAAAAGCTTTCGACAAAACCCAAGATAGAGTTTAATCCCAAATTATCTCCTAAGACTAACCCTAGTGCAAAGTATATAGTGGTGTAAGTATTGCCAACACATACAGAAATTCCATTTGTTTGAAGATCAATTAGTTCATTGATAAGACGAGAAAACATGATTTTATTGGGTACTTTAGTTATCCCACCATCTGAAGAATGAAATAAAAATGCTGTAAATATATTATTTAAAGATGACAAATATTCAGGTGGTAAGGCTGCAACAGTATAATATATACACCCTATTTTATGTATGCCAGAATGGGAACCCAATAGGTTTCCCATTTCAGCATCATCATAATGTAGAAAAAGAGGTAAAACAATTTTTCCAGAAAATTTTAATTTCATATCTTTGTCTTTCATTCCATGTCGAGCCATCCAAAAAAGAAATAAGAGTATTATTGTGTAATGATGAATCATGCATAAAGTCAGTTGAAACTTTGTGCATGTACTGCAGTACATCCTACCCATGGCGCTTCAATGGTGACCATAATATAATGAAAAACAAAACATGGGCATACGTTATATTTATGTTATAACATAGTTATGTATACATAAACACATATGTATAGTGTCCGGGCCAAAGGCATGTTTAACAAGGGGCAAAATGAGAATTTGTCCCCGGCTGCAAAATTTGAAAATATTTCATAAGCGGCATTCGCATACTAATTTTTCATACGTTTTTTGGTTTTTTCGTAATAAATTAATTTTTTCACCAGTGATTAAATATGTTATAAATTTAATGTTAAAAGATTTAAGTATTTTATTAAGTATATTTTTAATAGTAATAAAACTTATTTACTTATACTTATACGGCTATATAGATCTTATTCGAATGATTAGGTACAATATTAACACACATTAATGAGTAAACACAGTCGAGACTCGACGGACGAGGATATTGCTGTACAGTGTACACAGTGTGTAACAAGTACAGTTACTGTATAGTAAATAGAATTAATATGTATCAACACTATTAACTATAAATAGTTAGTAGTTCTCCTTAATATCATACATTCATATCTATGATAGGTATGTGTACCCGTCTTATAGTGAAATGTGAATTATTAAAAAAAAATAAATGTTAATTATTAATTTATTTTTAAAAATTGCTTACATATAAGTATATAACAGAATTATCACTATATTATTATAGTTTTCATTAGTAAGTGGGTTGTAGACAGTTGGTTGTAAATACTAAATTGTAATGCTGTCAAGTGTACAAGTGTAATTTTATTTTATATTTGAAAATAATGTCTTCAAAAAGAGTAAAATTAGGTGGCGCTGAATATAAAAAAGAGCAAAAATTAAATAGTCAAAAATAGAAGTTAAAACGAAAAATTAAAAAATTACAAACTTTTTGTACGCCATCGCCCATCAGCTGTAAGTACTTACCTATGTCTTATACGAATAATTATTATTAATTAGTTATGAGGTGGTCAAATATGTGTGACTCGGGCGGTATTACACCTTAACACGGCACTGAGTGTCCCATAAAAACCACTATAGTAAGTACTTATTATTTTATTTATATAGTAGGTATATCGGTCATCGTATACCGACATGAGATACACGTATTTGGCGCCACTGGGTAATTACACGCCTTTACACCCCATCGAGATTGCAGACAACACGATAAAATTACGATAATGTTTTTTTTTCATTTCAATAAATCCTTGCGAATTAATTACCAAAGTGTAGTGCCGTTTACTACAAGTATAGGTAGGCCACAGTTGTAATAAGCCACGCCCATGAAAGCGCGAACCACGCGATGTTTCCAGCAAGGGTGTGACTGGTGAGAATTTATATGACATAGTAAATTTAGTTTCATTTGCTTTTGTTATTATAGGTACCTACACTTTTGTAATTTTGTGTGGATTTTGGTTCTTGATGGAACAAACATAATAAATCATAATTTAAAACAATAGGTACCTACCTATATAGTACCTTCTATAAATTATAATTATTATACACGAAACCTTGTTATAAATTAATAATTTATCTTTCTTTCCGTGAATATTTTCAGTATCTCATAATTTTTCTATATTTTTTTGGAGTTCACCAATTAACTTACTCTTATATACCTATATACGGCTCACAATAAATTAGGTTCAATAAATCAATTTAATTACTAATTATTAAATACTAATTTTTAAACTACCTATATATTTTTTGTACATTTAAAAATTACTATACAACTTTCTAAAAAATAATAATATCAATAAAATCCTCCGAGATGCCCTGATATTAATCTTATACCTTAAGGCCGGGGCTATACACGGCGTATTCCGCAGCGTTGTCCCTGAGTTTTTAATTCGACGGAATACGCAGAATACTCCGTGTATAGCACCGACCTTACATTTTATAACAGGTCAATTCACTCTAATTTTAGAAATAATAGAGTAAATGGATTATTGGTAACGTCAAATGTTCTATGTTGTACGTTTGTATAAGAGGAAGACAACAAATTCAGGCAGGGTTTTTTTTAATGTGCAAACAAAAAAGAATTTTGGGATGATATATTTTATTGTATATTATAAAACTATAAATGAGTAAACTTAAAAATAAAAAAATAAATGTTTCTATTAAAATTAAAAATTGTTTATACTATTCATTATTATACTATTTTTTTAAAAACAAAAAATAATATCTACCACCTTTAAACACATACTTGTTGTGGTGTTATAATGTTATATATAACATAATATGAACAATTTAATTATAAATAAGAAAAGCGGACAAGAACTGAATACCTAATCAATACATACAATAAGAATACTTATAAGTTATAACTAATATTAAATTACAACAGTTAAATATAACTCCTTATTATTTATTCAAGTATTGAAAATAATCAAATCTGATTTTTTTTTCATTTCTATAGGTAAGATTCCCTTCTGTATTGAATATTTCCCTTTTTATATTTACTGACATTAAGTTGTAGTTTTTTGGACCTAGATAATCTATGAATTTTTGACCAAACTCTTTTCTAAAATACTCCATTCTGACATCAAATGCCCTATTTTCTCTTTTAATTATTACATTTTTCATATTATCCTGCATGGAGGATTGAATTGTATATGCAATAGTCATTTTTTTTAAACAGACTCAAATGGTAACACATCTAATAACTTAAAGTTTTCTTTATTTGAACCAAAAAAAGTAATTTGCTTAAACATATCCTAAAAATGTTTCTTTGTAAAAGTTGTAGTAATCTAGATGAATTCAGTCAAAATTATCATTTTATCTATTACCTATTTGATGTAAAAGTATATTACAAAAATTATAAAGAAATTAGATACGTAGTCAATTTAGCCACATTCAAATGAATCTTTTAATATGAATACACAAACAGATGTGATATATACTGATTTTAAGAAAGCTTTTGATCGAATTGATCATAACTTATTAATATCTAAATTAAATCATTATGGTATAAAAAATCCTCTATTATCATGGTTTTCTTCATTTTTAACAGAAAGATTTCAAATTGTAAAATATAATGAGTTTTTTTCAAATCCTATTTCTATAACATCCGGGGTTCCACAAGGAGACCACATTTCTCCGCTGTTATTTCTATTATACATAAATGATATTTCTTCTTTACTAAAACATACAAATATTCTACTTTTTGCTGATGACGCGAAATTATATAAAACTATTTACTCCGTTTCTGATGCCTTGAAGTTACAATCAGATTTAGACGCATTTTGCGATTGGTGTACAAATAACGGCATGGAACTAAATATAAATAAATGTTCAATTATCTCATTCTCTCAAAAAAAAACCATTCTTGATTTTAATTACAATTTTATAAACCTTGAAATTAAACGTGTATATTTAATAAATGATTTAGGTGTATTTTTCGACACAAAAATGAATTTTAAACAACATATCAATAAAATAAAAAATAAAGCATCTTCTAAGTTAGGATTCTTAAAACGACAATGTTCAAATTTTAACAATCATTTCGCATTAAAAAACATTTATTTTTCTATTGTACGTTCTCAACTAGAATATGCTGCTTTCATTTGGTCTCCTAATTCCTTAATTCTAAATCAAACTCTTGATTCCGTTCAAAATTCTTTTTTACGCTTTTTATCTTTCAAATGTAATGTAGAACGCCTTTCACATTCAGGTTATGAGGGAGTATCTGGTTTTTTCAACATACCTACTTTGAGAAATCGTAGAAAATATCTAGCTTACATTTTTCTTTTTAATTTATTAAATAACAAAATTGAATGCCAAGAAATACTAGAAAGATTAAATTTTAAAGCAAAAATTATTTTAACTAGAAATAACGATTTATTCACTTTGAAAATTATACGAACCAATTATTCTTCTTCCTCCCCAATAAATTCACTGATGTCTATTGCAAATTCAGTTAATTTAGATTTGTTTTTTTGTAATATAAATAGTATTAAATCAGCATTTAATGTTTGATTATTTAAAATGTATTTTTTGTTTTGTTTCAATGTTTTTAATTGTTCACTGTTAATTCAGTCTAAATGTAATTATATTTAATATATTGTAAACTATACTTGTACTATATCTAGGTTTAAATAATATGTAATCACTAAACTAAATATTCATCATATGTTTTGTTACACTGTACACTATATATTAATATTGTAAATGGATTTATTCCGTAAAAATAAATAAATAAATAAAAATTGATTGTTTTTATTTTTATGAACAATTATTATTACAAATTACCTATTTCAAGTAAATATTACTTAGTAATTACAAATAAAATATAAAATTATTACTTA